CTTATTCCACTGAGCCATCTCCCCAGCCCCCGCTGCAAAGTCTTTGCATTGGTCTTCAATTGGCAGTGTGGTAGTGTTTAGCTACTTAACAGAATACTAACATTTAGAAGGAATTCTCCACATTCTCTGTCTACATTGTTGCCTACACATCTCAAAATAACTGATGTGAACACTATAAGTTCCAGAGCATATTATGATGAGCTCAACAGATGATGAAAATGTGTAACAAATACTGGCATGGTGGTGCACACCTGTAACCCCAGCACTTGGGAGGCAGAGGCAAGAGCATTGATATGAGTTAGCGGCTGACCTGGGCTAGTAAGATTCTGTCTCAAAAAAGAATAATAATAATAATAAAAGTGCATTAACAAAAGATCATGGTATCTTTAAATCAGAAGACTAAAATATTACTTGTAATGCAACTTTGTTCTTTTAATATTCTTACTTTGCATTTATCACTAATACATTACTAAGACAAAAATACTGATGTTCTTTTCCAAGGCTACAAATGTGTCACTAGTGAGTAACACAGGTCGCATTTCCAAAATCTCATGTTTTCTTTTTTCTGTAGATCACAACTCTCACATAGACTATGAAGAGTTTTCTCACTCTTTGAAATTTGAAGTAGTTATCAAGTGTAGAAGATTCTTCCTTAAATAGACTCCTGTTTTTTGTTAAATTTTGCAGCTCTTTGGAAAAATAGCAACTCCCCCCTACTTGCAAGAGGAACATTTCCACTTGAAGCTTGTTGGAGATTTGAGGTAGCTTATAGTTCCAGCTAAGAAAATTGTTTTATTTCCTTGCACAGTATTTTGCTTTTATGTCAAATTGAAGAGTAGCATTAAGGGAATGCCCACAAAGCATCTTAAAGGCTAAGGGAGGATTATGCTCAGAGCTAAACTCTGAGACAGGTTTATGGACCTTACAGTGCACTTTCCTTGGACTTAACATCTTTTAGTCTATCTGTAAAGGATATCAGAGGGCCAAGGTTCTGTCATGAAATAGAACTAATCAACTTAGTTGAATTTGTATTTAAGGCAAGGTTGGCTATCATTAAGACACTTTCAGAAGCAGTTGTCACCTGTGCTTTTAACCTGCCTCTGAGAAGCTTCTGCAGGTAGAGACAGAAAATCTGGAAGGTTCTCTCATTGGCAGTGCCAAGACAATCTTTACAGAGAACGTAAGTATGTAAATTTTCAAGTCTATACATTGACTAGTCCAAAATGAAGGCTAGCTACTCATAGTACAATTCTGCACATTTGAAACAAAGAAACATTTTTATTTTACAGGAAAATGCTTACGTTTATCTGTAAATTTATTGGGTTCCTTACTGGCAATATGATAAATTAATGAAAAGTAAAGATGACATACCACTCCTGCCAAAAGAAATAATGCTGGGCCTTAGGTTTTGGCTTTTGTTTTTAAGTCAAGTAAAAGAAACTTTAATTAAGATAGTTAACTATAAATTGTATATGTTTAATACATTAAGTATCTACTTCTGTTTGTTACTGCTATACTCTTATTACATATTATTTTAAAGACCTCTCATTACTGCCGATAAGTACATTCCAAAAAACTTTCATGGTGAATGGTAATTTGAA